CAATTTAATCGATTAATCATTTCCAGATATACATGGATTGAAATACAATTGTAGACTCTTCTCATTTGGTAATGATGACGTCAATAAGTACTATTGAAAGTTCAGTAAATTGTGAATGTCTTGTCTATGAATTACAATTTCTAATACTGTTAGTATAAATTTACTAAAGCTAACATAAGTATTGTAAACTTTATCCTATAGTATTCAACTACAATTTATATATGTAAAAGATAGATTAATAAATGTACAATTTCTATTTCAATGGTTAAGATCATGCGTCAGTTGAAGTTAGACCACCATGGAAAACCTGGAAGCATTGGATGGCCGTTTCATCCTATCGTGGGACTCCTCAGCAGTACACATCCACGACCTCGCCCAATGCGAGATTCGAACCTAGGACCTACTGGTTTCGCGCGCAAGTACTTAACCACTAGACCACTGAGCCGGCCGGCATCCAACGGTGCCTACCTACCTACCTGCTACGAGTACTACGTCTGAACGTTTAGCTTTCTGAAGAAGTTCAGATAGCTTTCTGTAAAATTCATCTTTCATTTCATCTGAGCTGCAGTCGGTGGGAGCGTAGGCAGAAACGACAAAAAGGCAACGACGTGTATCCCTATCCTTCCGAGTTCTTACGGAGCCGTTAAACCGAACAGCACATAGACGACTGTTGACGGGGATCCACTCTAGCTGTGCTTGTTCCGCCCTCATGCTTAGTGCTATGCCTACACATGCCAGTCCACGAGAACTGGCCATCAGGTCACCAGATACACGGAGAGTGTATCTCGTTGTCTCTCCGTTTTGCCGAGGTGAGGTCAAGTGAATGACCACACTGGAATCCTGTATGCGTGTTTCGGAGACACAGCATACATCAATGGAAAGAGACTCTAGGGTTTTAGCCAAGGAAGCCTGCTGACCGATTTGACATAGGGTGCGTACATTGAAGGCTCCAATGTGTAGTGTGGAGAGAGGTTTCAGTAGACCTGGGACAGTGTTTTGAACACTAGAATCGTTGGCTATGGTGACACTTGAGGGGGGTCGATCACACACGACCTTTGTATGGGTTAGCTCTGTACTTGTTGAGACCTTACCGCCGGAGACGGAAATCCGTGAGGTAAGGTGAGGTGAGCATTTTTAGGGTCGACCTTTTCTAACCCTACCCCTCCTTGTGGGGAGGCAGCATCGCTTTCATGCTGGTTGTCTGAAGGAAACACCTTACTACTGTCACACCTCTGTACAGTCAGTAGTACGACTTCGCCTTCGGACCTTGGGTTTGTTGCTTTTAGTCTTACCGCTTTTCAACCGACCTTTCTGACGTGGTAAGACCTTGAGGAACAGTTGTTCCAGTCAGTATAGCTCAGTTGTTTCATCACGATAGGCAAGCCCGACCACCCCGTCAAGGTAGCAACAACGGTCGGGGAAGCCAGTCACTAGTGAGCATATGATGATTATTATCAGAATGGGGTTCCATGGTGGTTTAGATTTAATTGATTTATGAATTCAACTATAAAATTACTAAATGCTCCACAAAACCAACTTCTGAAAATATAAATAACTCTTAATCCCCTGAATTTTCATAACTTAGATGTAATTACTCTTTGTTCATATGCAATATGAATAGTTTACTTGAGAATCTTGGTATTTCCACTATATCTTACGTGCTTTGTATTATTGCATACATTATATAATCAATTACGGAATATTCTGTAACAATAATTAGTTATAAAACTCATTTTCGACCACAATATAAAGATTGGATGCATCTGAGCCAGTGGAAATGACCCTGAACCATCAAATGTCTTCAACCATTGGTTACTATAATCATCTTAACTCAAACAGTAGATTTCCATGGATCAAATGAGATGTGCTACTTTTAACATTACCCTTTTTTCGTCTCATCGTTTCGTAGTGAGAATCATTACTACAGATACTAGTTGTTTGAGTGAAACACTTTACTGCTATCACACCTCGGTATAATCACCATTAGGACTTCAATATTAAACCATAAGTTTTCGCTTCTGATCTTACCGTTCTCAAACCTACCTCTCTGATATGATAGATACTAAGAGAATAAGAGTTAACACTTGATTGGTTTATTACGATAGATAACCTTGATCGCCACATTAAGGTAGCAGCTCAAGTTTGGATTTTAAATGGGAAACACTATGTACATTTATTCCGATTATTAACTACACTATATTAATTAAGAAATCTACTTTACTTACTGCTTGTCGGAAATGCATGTCCATGTATAATAAAAACAAATGCGACAACTTGAACATAAAGACGATTTACTTAAAACAAATACGTTCTACGTCCTCGTACGAAAACCCATAATTTTCAAGTGTTTGAGCAGCTGAGAATCAAATATAAATCAACATCTTGATTAACGGGATTCTTGTCAACCTAATGGTTGACACTAGTCTATATATCATACTAATTTTTAGAGATACATGGAGCACTTTAGTATTCCCCAGGTGAACAGGATCACTCAAATTTTCAGAAATGTATCAGATGATCTAATAAAATTACCCAAAAGTTATTTGTGATGCCTATTTTAGATTCAAAACATTTCGAAGCAGATATTAATTCTCAAATCGTCACGGTTGGGATATTCAGGAAAATATCCCAAAAATTATTCTGTTAAGTCTAACGCTATCCTGGAACTTGAAGTGGTGTTATTTTCTTATTGGTCAATATTTACTTCACGTGTCGTTTTCCTACTGGTCAGTATTGTACAATGTTATTTTCTATTTTATGGTACGATGTGGTCTGCTTGACTGGTATATAAACAGAGTATGTTTGAAATATAATGATTCATATCTCCGAGGCTGAGACTTGTGTTCTGGACCCAACTGGCTGGGCTAGACAGGGAAGCGGGACCAATCAGAACCCTGGGCCGTTCTTACGTGTTTGCGCGTTTTTGGTCCGATCGATAATTCGCTGTCCTCTAATCTGCTGTCAGTTATAGCAGTCACAATCTCAAATTACTTGAAATCGACTGAATGGTAAAGTTATCATAGTGAAATATCCTATAAAATTCTGTTTACTCATAAGTATACCTAAAAAGGTTAACCATCTCAGTGAATATGATACAGAATATTTTCTCAAAAACAGGGGCATATTTTAAAAGGCAGGACTATACAATTCAGAAAATCAATTACAATCATTTCATATGGCACTTTAGTTTAACGATATTAATAAATTGGCACAGTGACGATAACCCAGACGGTGTCACCATCAAGAAACATAGACTTCAGTGGCTTAGACATGTGTTACGAATGGCATCTTAGATAGATAAATTTTGTGCATTAATTGCTGATGGTAGGGTGGAATGGGAAAAGCCGATTGACCATTTTATGACATGCCATCATGGCAGGAAAAGACGCATACGTGGATAGTATTTATGACGACGTTGTGACTCCCCAATCAGGGTCCTTAGAGCATAACTGCTCAACCACACGGAAGATTGAAAACTCAAATTTTTTGATACTTGAAGCTGAATTTATTCCGAAAAACCCGTTTTAAGATGAAGCTCAAAAGAGTAGCACATAAGAGGCTACATAACTGACTATTCTTAAATTATTATCGCTACTCCATTCACTAGCGTTATTTACGGATTGAAGTCGTTCAATTCATTTGAATGTGAATTCTGACCTCAATTTTCGTTAATCTAATTTAACTACTTATGAGTAGAGTAAATTAAAAGAGATGTTCAAGAGAGCACTTTGACATACAAATTTATCTAAATCAATTGAGAAAACTTTTGTCACTGATTATTAAACGAATTGTTAGTGACATCCCTAAAAATACTGTATTTCTTTGCCCCATAGATTTCCGGTGCCAACAGTAAGGGTTGCAAAGTACGGAGCTAACACACAAAAAAGCTGTATCTGACAGGTCCCAAACAACTGTTATGCTCACGCTCCTAGGCCATCAAGACCACTTGTAATCCAAATTGCTCGTCAGGCGCCTCAAAAGGTATTCTCCTTTGATGTGCATGACCGATATGCGATAACTACCCATACTATCTCTAACAATATTTGCATCTAACTTAGCTTTTGGCAATGTAGTATCCATAGTTCTTACGCAAACACTGCTAAGCTCAAAGCTGATTAGTACATAAACTATTAGAGCATATAAACTTTGTATATAAGTTATCAGAAAATTGTAGTTTTCATTCAGTGGTTAAGGCATTCAATTCTCAGTCACTAAGTCACAGGTCCGAACCCTCCTCCATCTACCTCAATTTGCGGGAACGCATAGTACAACTAATCTTCACAAGTAATGTAACTACTGACCAACTACACGAATCTGTACCTGTTATGGAATATGTTTTCTGTGTGATATGAAATATCTATTGTTTAAATTGATGGACAGAATGCTAATCGATAGATGAACGTAATGATATAATGTGACCAAGTGATAGCTACTCACAAGACCGTATTATTGCTTTAAGGTGCCGAAAGACAAGACAACTAGTCAAATGAATAGGCTTTTTAGATGGAATAAAATAACATCCTTAGATACAAAATATGACCAGAAAATAAACATGGTAAAATGTTATATGTAATTGAAGGAAATTAACTTGTAGGTCATTCATTCTTCAATAAATTACGAGTGTTAGACCTAAATCTTTGAGAATTGTATCAATACACACCTAGTAAATGGTTTAACAATAATATTATGAAAGACAGTAGTAGTGTGGTGTGGGTTACTTATATCCATAAAAGTAGTATATAACGGTGGTCAGGTATAGAATGTATTTCAGTAGAAAGTCGATGAGGAAAGAACGGGAACAGAACGCAATTGGTATGAAAACGCATGAACAATAAAATATGAGACAACGAATTGATGTTTGCAACATGAACAGTCAAGTTTGAGATAATGGATTGATATTTTGCAAATTAACGATTTACTATATGGTTCTCAGATTTTATTGAGATACTCTGTCATGTCGTGTCAAATACATTCGATTGTCCCCACTGGTGTTCTGTTCACTAAAGTAGTCTAGAAGTAGCAGTAGTACTATGAATTATCAATATATTTCTCTCTAAAAGATACAAAAATAATCCAAAATCAAATAAAATGAGTCCCAATAGGAATTGCATAAAACATTAAATCATAAACTGTCAAAGAAAAGAAACTAGCACTACTGTTATTATTATTATTATTACTATTATTATTATTATTATTATTATTATTATTATTATTATTAGTAGTAGTAGTAGTAGTAGTAGTAGTAGTAGTAGTAGTAGTAATAGTTAATAGTAGTATTAATAATAAGATAATAAAAAACTATATTGTTCAAAAAACCAAAACATTAAACCTGTCGTTAATGTAGCCTTTAAAGCTGATGGTATCCAACCTTTATACAAACCATAAATACCATGTTCTTTAAAAATATCTATTAAACAATAGAATGAAGCGAAAAATTGATTATAGTTTAGTTGTGTTAAATTAATATTTTTATATGTGGATAATGTATAACCTTTAGGCAATTGACCGAATGTTAAACGAGCTTTTTCAAATCCACGTATTTCTAAACGTTTTTTAGCTAAATCAAGAGGATAGACAATTGTCTTAGCTAAGAGACCAGAGAATCCACCAGCCCAAAGTGGAAAATGCCAATTTAACTGTTGATGAGGATGGTGATCAGTCTCCAATGATGATTCACGACCTAAAAAAAATATATATATACGTAATTTTAAAATAGATGTATTAATCATTTTATGATTTCTCATTAATGAATCGAATTGATCAGTTATTTTCGGAACACAAACCACATTTATGAATATCTCATCATAACAGAGAGAGAGGAGGCTAAAAAAGGTCGGCCAAAAATATAGTACACCTCAGCTTCCCCTAAACGATTTCTGTCACCTCTAAAGTATGGAAATAACACATCTAAAACTACTCATAAAGTTCAATGTGATCGGCCTCAAGCAGTTGTCCCTCAGGCACCGCTATCATGCTATCAGAAAGTCATGACCACTCATACACATAATTTGGTTTTCTTTTCAGATAACTTTAAGAAGTATTCTTATGGTGTAAGTAACCAGGAAGTGACAATCTCCCTCATACCTCTCACAGCAATATATAAATGTCTTCTGTAACTCTATTGTTTACAAAGTAGACTTTATTTGACAGAGCAGGACATTAAAATCTAATGCGTACATATATTTTTATTTATCACCCATTAATAGTGAACAATGAGATAACTCAAACCCTTATCAGTAATTATATAAGCTATCCCAAATGGAAATCCTAATAACTAACTAAAACAAAACAATCCAATGTTCATGACAAATGGAATCTAAAATAGCTTTATTTGTCCGATAAATTTAACTTCAAACTAAATGCAATGATTTCTTATAAACTCAAAAGGTACTTTGTCTTAACTTCTTGTAATGATACACTGACTGCAGTTTTAGTCGAAATAATTAAACATTCCTTAATGAATTTACGAAATTTTGTCAATATAATCTAACCGATTGTTCCCACTTGTTCAGTTTTAAAGCATTCTTAACAAGATAACCAACCTAGGTTTAGAACATACAAGAGTGGAGTTAAGATAACTAACGTTGAAAAACTTAGGTTATGATAGGATTCGAATCGCCAGCCTTAAGGTTATTCGATCTTGAACTTCTATGGACTGAATAAATATAGGATGCAACTGCTAACCACGTCTTAACCTGGTATTTGTTCTCAACCTTCCAATAAATGAAAGCATACAACTGTTGTAGTGGACACTACTCACAAGGATGTTTTGTAAGTCGAGTGTATTGGAACGTTGCATCGAAGTTGCAACACTTGTCGGACAGTGAAAATGTTTAGTGCATCGAAAGCACGGCGTTAGAAGAACACTTGGAGACCGGTTGAGAAGATAGTTCAGATTGCAGAACACAACGGAAGATGCAAATGGATAACTAATGGTAATGTATATGTATTATGCAATGCTTTGTAACTTCTAGCACAAATATACATACCTCGTGCCTGCTGTCGTGTTTTATATTATTACCGTATAGTCCAATTTTCAGGGAAGAGTTCTTTTGATTCATATTAATAATGAATTATGTCAACTTGGGTTATTTCGAATAGGTTAACTATGAAAAGTATTGATAACCACTTCGAAAAACACAATACAACCATAGATAAATACTTGAAATATATGTTGATTGGACGAGTACGAATAGGAACTAAATGAATGCACTAGTCAAATTTCACAGTGAATTTTCCTCTTGTATTGAGTTCGCTTTTCTTCCAAACAAATCTCTCATTAGATCTGTTTGGTAATACCATAAATAAATATTAAAGAAAATCGGTTAACTTACCAACATCGTTATTTAAAGAAGCGGATTTATGCTTCATAGGGATATTCTCTTTTGATTTCAATAGAATATGAGAACGCTTCAATTGTTCATAAACTGTAAAATAAACAGTTGTTTGTGGTACTACTGATATAAGACATGGTCCAAGTCCTCGCCATAAGCCGAATAATCCTTCTTCATGAATAAGATGACGCATACCACATAGGAAGCCTGAATAAACCTTCATTTCAAAACACAAAATAAATTCATGTAAACATTGGTCTCTTATTTTGTAGTAATAACAGTTTACTTCACTGTATATGTTCACATTCATGCAACTGTCATAAAATTGTCTCTACTTGTTAAATCTGAGAAAGAAACATAAGTGATCTGTCGAGTAAATGTCTGCATTGAAGTTATACAAACTTTAACCAACAAAATTTAGGTTAAATCCATCTTATTCCCTTCAAAATATTTTCATTTGTTTAATACATCCATATAAATCTACCGAAGTCACTCTTCAGTTGTCTTATAATTTTTACGTCACGCTAGAATAACGTGAATCTAGGTGACTGGCAATCGTTTAAACATTGAATTAGCCACTGGACACAACATGAGACGTCAACAATGATCATCATAACCTCACCCCATACCCACGGTCTTCACAACCTTCACAGAAACCCTTGATCTATTTAAAAATAACTGTTATCTTCAATAGATTACAACTGTATAAATAACGTTCCATAAATTTCCTGACAATTTCACCTAAATCTAATAAAAAATTGTAGTACTTTGGTTACTGTATTTTCTGAACAGACCATCTATACTTAGTTGATTTACTACTGACAGTTTTCAAAACATTATTTATAACTGTGAAAATATTCAAAGTACCGAATGACTGTACTGATTACCTGGTACTTTGATCGAGTAGTAATGTACACTATGGTAACATTTTGCAAATCCAATTAAATGGAGAAAGAAAACAATATATATGGGAACCCTTGTTTGTTGAGACTTATAGTTCGCCTGTATTTCAATTACGACTTAACTTTGATAAACATTTTAATTTGGACTTGATTTGATTTGTTAAAACAATGAAATTATTCCCCAGATTATGTTTAATGAATTCAGGGTCTAAAATATTCGCTTAAACAGTTGAAGGCATTGGGTTCAGTTTGGCAAGAAATTTAAATATCCATATTTACTTATTGCTAGTAATTATGTCACTAGTATTGTAAGCAATAAATTCTTTTTTCAATACACTGATATTACTGAGATACAACGTACAGTTATCATTTACATGTAGTTCATATCAACCGAATAGAAGGATGAGAATAATCTGGAAAAAAGGTTGAAGGCTCAAATCACTGAGTCACATATTTATCCCAACATTTTAGGGCTTCATAACATCTTAATTTGACAAGATATGATAACAAGAATACAAATAATTAGCCATCTATAAGTTTACACACTAATATACAGGTTACAGTTATTGTATGAAATAATTATTCTATCTTACTACTCAAAAACCGCTAGATAGGACTACAGTTACACTCAAAATGAGTACAAAGCTGATCCACTATTCTAGAAGTATTTATCTGAAACATCCATACTCGTGTAATGGCTTGCTTTACTGTGGCTTTTTGTCCAGATAAACAACTTTAACAGATTGAAGATTAAAACACTCGAGAAAAACAAGCTTCGAACCCCTGTTTTTACTTAATTTGGCTAAGGTAGTTATGTATTCCCAGCAATCTACATATAGTATGGGTTAAAACCAAGTACATAAATCTATATGTAGTAAATAAGTTACGTTACTGCTATCTATCTCAGCCATAAAACAATCCAACACGCACATACACAAACTTTCCATCCTTATGAACAAAACTGTAAAGCACATAGTCAATAATTCTCTTTAGAAAACCTATAAATGGTTACCTGATTTTTACCTTGAGCTATAAGTCGTGTCCTCATGACATCTAATGGTTCACTTAGTGTAGACGCAATCAGACCAGTTACACTACCGGCTATCATATCATGCACCCATCCAGATGATGAGCTAAGATTTATTTGGTTGGTTAGTAAATTTTCAATGGCATAAAAACTCCCAAACTAAAATGTAAGATTATTTGCAAAAAAAGATTACATTAGTATTTTCAAATAATACAGAGACTGATAGGGTTGATGAAATAAACATGAAAGTTTGAATTATCGCTGTACTAAAACACATAATTCTAGACTTAATAGTTTGCTACTAATATTTGTACTGCCACACTACTGATGTAATTAGATATGTCGCACCTGATTACTAACTAAATTTTGGTTCTTTTACACATATAGAGTTCTATGTCCATTTTTGTTATGTGGATGAAAAGTTTATCTATCTACGTCTCATCACATTAGCTATTCCGATGAATATTCTGAATTAGATGTGAAGTGTAGTGAAAAAACTGGTTAATTAGTAAAACATTTCGCCAGTAGTGTCAAATATGGTTCGCTAATAACAAAGAAGTAGCAATTCTTGCAAGAAACTAATCAAAATGTGAACAATATAATCTCCCATGCTGTTACAGGTATGAGAGCGGATGTCGATTTCCGAATGCGCACACCGTGGAAGAATACTTCTTCGTGAGGCACATGAGAAGGAAACTGGGTTAGTAGTAGTCTTAGTGACCTAGGAGCGTAACCACAGAATCCAGGGGACAATGGCTTGAAGCTCGTCATACATTTCTTTTCATGAGAAGTTTAAGATTTATTAGCTCCGTAGCTTAAAAGCCTTACTTCTGGAGACGAAAATCCGAGGGTTGAGATGAGGTGTAATATTTTTGGGCTCGACCTTTCCTAAATCCTCCCTTCCTTTGTGATAAGAAAGCATAGCTGAAAGTGCTGGTTGTCTGAAGGGGATAATTTACTGCTATCACACTCCTCTATATCCAGTAGTACGACTCCGTTTTCAAACTTTAAGTTACTGCTTCTAGCTTTACCGTTCTCCAACCGACCTACCCGACATAGGAACAAGTGTTCCAGCCAATATAGCTCGGGTGAGTTATTAAAATAGGCATCAAAGTGACAGCTACGGATGGGGCAGAGAAATAATCCCTCAACAACTAACAAGAGGTGATTATCGAACATCAACATCCTGGTTTCATGAATATCATTCGCCAGAAATAATGAAAAGTAAGTTTAATTTCAAGCATAGTGAAATACAGTAATATATTTATATAAAGAAACCTTGAGTAGTGAAGAAGGTAGGCTTTTTCGATAAAAACCTTTATTGTAAGTGGTATAGGAAAGTGTCAAAGTTATGACAGACCAAAGGACCAATTACATTATGCAGAGATCCATAAAAAAGTAACTATTTTTTAGCTTAACAGTCACAGGCTGATGTATCGCTATAAACTTGCCACAGTATTCACTATATTTCTAGATTGTAGGCAACGATGAAATTTAAGACATGCATTTCGTCTTATTTGAAACTAGTCAGCCGAATGTACTTGTTTCGCAATGATAATGTTCACAGTGAGACGCGAACCCAGTACTTATAGATTTGAGGGTCAACATATTATTTCAGATAGCTACTAATTCGGGAGAATCCCAAATTATTCTTAAAGCTGTAAACAACATCGTGTCATCTGTTCAAGGTGCACACATGCAGCGATCGATCAAATGTAATCCTGAACATAAAAACACAGGAAAACACAAACCCTTACAGATAAACAAAATATTTATCTCAAGAATCTGCAGAATGATCATCTACAACAGTAGAGTTGAAAATGAACGGTTTTGTTAACATAAATAAATGGAGTAGTGTGTTAAATAAGTGTGCATTATTGAACAAAGAGATGAACTAGGTGAACATTTTTAGGTAAATCTGAACACTTAGGTATCAACCACAAAAAAATGCACCTCAATCGAATTAAGAATGGTAGATATAGTTTGATTATTAGCACTAATAAAAACGGTTTGTTATCAAATAATCAATATGTAGCACTAGCTACTACTGTCTTACAATTGAATTATTGGTCATCTTACATCCCATTAAAATCTAAAACCTACAACAATCGATAACTGTCAAGATCAACACTCATCTACGTATCTACTTTAGTTTTATATACAGTATTCAGCAAGGTAAAAAGATAATTACTATTAATTTTATGCTACCACTTACTTGTGCTCCACAAAATGTAATAGAAAGAAATTGTGCTGGTACATGACCCTTCCATAGACCATATACACCTTCTTCTTTGTAAATACGAATGAATGCCTGTAATAGGCCAGTGTAATATGATTTTCCTGAGGGCTTAATATCTTCAACTTGTAACTGAATTATAGTTGTTTTTAACACAAGCATAGAATACAAAAACTCACTTGAAAACGAATTTTTATAACATCTAATGGTTGAGTTAGAAAACGGACAGTAAAACCGGACAAGCTTCCAGCAATTAAATTTTTTGTGTCACTTTTCATACTCTAAAAATACAAGTAAATACTGAGTAATTGAATGACAAATTATTATAGTTTAATGTTCTAAAACATACTGAAAAATGAACAGACATAATAGAATATAAGCAAAAAATTTGCTGTTAAATTAGATAGCCTATAATTAGAAGTGTAATATAAATATTGGTTTAAACATTCGACTTTGAGATGGAGATTTGTAGCTCAGATGGATGATTTTGGTGGCTTTCAACGTGATACCAGGTTTTGAGTAGACAAGTTTTATTATCATTCTCTACACACACAATTACATAGCTCAAAACCAAAGCGATAAAGTTGTACTAGATCAGTAACGTCACCTTAACTTACGTTTTATGAAAAATGAATTTGTTACAGCCATCAACTTTGGTCCCTTGCATTTTACTTGACAACAGATTACATCAAGTGTTTTGCTTTTATAAAAATTAAGGTGAAGTACTACTTGAAGTATATTATGTTTATGAACCAATCGGATCTAAAACAAAGGCCGCTGAGTTTTAGCGCGAGATCTAAAACTAGGTGACGTAGTTTGTACCTTATTAACAGTTACATAGGATCTAAGACCTCCCAGTATTCAGTAACTTGAACGCATAAACTTGACAAACGGTATAAGATTAAAGAGTAGGAACAAACTTGAGTGACTCGGTCTTCAGAGGTAAGGACAAGAAGTCAAGCGACCTATGTTAATTCTCATGATTTGCAGTAATGTGAAGATCTAATCTCTATTTATATGTACCAATAGAAGGTGCTGATAATGCGTACTGTCAGAGAATTTCAGTAACTCACGATTCTATGTAAAAAAAAATCAGACGCAGACGATTTGATCTCGGTTTTTGAAATTTATAAGGATGTCCTCTCAGACGATCAGTCTTGGTTGGAAAATAAAACATTAAAACCAAAATTATTGTCTAGTATACGGTTAACTATTAATATATGACCTCTTAACCGACGATAAGATAGAGGCGCCTCAGTCTGTCTTTGTAATACAGGTCAGAGCAACCTTTCACCATTTCAGTACCTCGTTGTTGAATCCATTCTACCATATACGCTTTATATTGAGATGAATACCCGTTGCTTGAACCCTACATTATAAACCTGGCCTCACGGACGACTGGAATAATGACCTGAACATTTCTCTATCTAAATGATGAAATGACTTACAAATAATTCATAGTACCACACCATTGGAAGAGAACACACCAGTTACCCACAATTCAAAAGTCATTTCTAGCTACAACTTTCAAATCTTTGAAATTATAAACCTAAAGTAATCCCATTCCATTTATTGCGTTACGTACATTGTCGTAATGACCGATTTAAATTACTACACTCGAGCAGAATTTACTTCTACTGATCACCAATTCACCCGTTCAACTGAATTTAAATTTCCCTGTAATCCTATCTTACCAGCCTCACTTTGTATGGATATCCAGACTTCAATTTCACCCCTAAACGAAATAATAGATGTAGGTACCAATGCCAAGGTTGGACTTGATAGTTTCAAATAAATTGAGCACTGGGTGAAAAGTTAATCATAAATGTATTTTCTGTTATAGACCAATGAGTAGAGAAATTGTATTCCTGACGTTTCATGACTTAATGTAAGGCACTTCTTCAAAGTAAATAGGTAACTGAATTCAATCCGGTTATTTATTAACTTTGTAGAAGTGCCTTACATTAAGTCATGAAACGTCAGAAATACAGTTTTTCTACTTATTGGTATATAAAGAAATATTTGTCATTAATAGGTGATTGTATGACTGGGTAGACCATTTGCGCAACGTAAGAAAAGGGAGAATAAGGATTATTTCTTGAGGAACTCTACCCTTCACAGATCCCCATAATAAAAAGCACCATCTACTCTTGTTCGTACCCCGATATCACTGAGAAAATTAATTATCCACTTTAACAATAATTAATCCCAAAATTTTCCAGTTCTAACTTAAAACCTAGATGAGAGACTTTGCCGGGGGATTTACTTAGATCGACAAAAATGACATCTGGAATATTTCTATGTTTTGCTGCAGCTCAATTTTCTGTTGTAAAGGGAAGATCAGTCAGGTATGAGTCCATGGTAAAACTATGTTATTCCCTCGACAAAAGATTATTCCTTTTCACATAACTTGAATTAGTATACCCAATAATCTCTAACATTAGTTTGACAACCTATTTATTTGGATTAACTTGGCGATAGTTACTGACCAAACATTTGTACCCAGTTTTGTAGACTAAACTAATGATTGTACCTCCCGTCTCGTGGTAGTTCTTGACAACTTCAGGGACATATCGAAGGGTATTGCCAGTCAATCGGCAATTATATCAGCTACGGCTCCCATGATTTGAGGATAGATATCACCAGAACCACTGGACTTATCCTGCTCGAGATGTTGAATTACTTGTAGAACTCACTTCTTAATAAACAAAGAATCCATCGACAGAAAACTGTTATTGGAGTTAATTGCTGGTCTTCCGCCGTCGTCAGTAGAAAACACTGCTAAAATATTTTAACAAGGCATCAGTTTTCTCAATTTCATTACTTACTAATGTCAGTGGATTTGTCTGCAACTTTACTTATTTACTTATTTAAACCCAACATTGGTACAAGGAGGCATCAAATAGATACGTGCCACATGAATCATTCGATTTGTGTGAGGGCTGTGACACTGCCCGGGTACCCAAACCGAAGTAGGTGGTTTTCTTAGGGGGGAACACCCCGAGCCTTCGATCTAGAGTTCCAACCCACGAGGCAGTGGAGCAACGTTAAGAGATACAGTCCCCACAGCATCCAGCAGACAAGGATAGATCCATACGTCATTTGTTTCTTCAGGATCCTGGAGCCCATATGAACCATTGGTTTGGAATCAGGGTTTTCCAACTCCTCTAGGTGGACCCTCCGTACCCACTAACCCAGTTAAAGCGCCGGACATTCACTTTTTGTCCTTTCAGTATCGTAAACACCCCCGCCGCGAGGAGGCAGTGAGAAGAACTTCCCTGGCAGTGGTTGTATGAACATGGCCATGTGAGAGCACTTCGAGAGGGAGAGCTGACTCTACCCACTCTCGACCGTACCAGGGTATTTGGGGGTGACGGAAGTGACTATATCTCATTACTTCTCTGAGTTCACCTCTTCATACATGAGGATAACCATTTGAAACTATGTTGAGAACCCCAGACTGGTTGTTTATCATATGAGAATATCGGCTTACCTATCAGCACTCTCTGTGTTCATAGTCTTCAGATAAGTAGATTTGAACTATTCAGAGTCTGAAGAAGTGGACATATCGTGGCGTTTTCTCCTGTTCTCTTGTTATCTATGGTGAATGGTTTTTAGGTCCACGACGTTTTAACCATAGTATAAAAAAGGACGTAACTGAGCTAAGTGTCTTTTTCAATAAAGACCATACTTCTCCAATTGACGAACTAGTATAAAATGACCAGTCCGTTACTACAGCGTAATCCTTCATGACCGAAATGTTAATTCTCCATAAATTTGAGGGAGATCGAACCTTAGAAACAACTGTCACAAGCTCTGAACCTGAATGGCAAACCATTATGATCACTATTAGCCTACTGTGTGGGGATATTTAGACCAGTAATACTTTCGGTTTCACGAGTGATCACTAAATCCAGCAAAGACGCGTGGTTTGAACCACAAGATGTGTGTTAACATGCATGCTGTTTTAGAGCACCATTAACCACAATCGTAAGGAACCTACTACCGAATGTACTATCGGATACTACGGTGGACATCAGTTCCCAGTTAATATTAGGGGCATTTAAATCTCCTAATACTGAGCACCAATCACTTTTACGCTGTGATTTTTTATGATCTAAAATGAAGTTTCTAATTGAGCACCCATACACAACGATTAGTCTATTCGAGGAAGAAACATCAGAAAACAAATACATTAAGGATGATAGTAATGATAATAATTTTGATTCTAATCGGAATGGCTTTATGCTTTATCATTGTCGTTATTACCAGAGCCATTCCAGCTTTAAATCCAAACCTTAATCCCAAGTACCCTATTTCCTAACCTTTTCTCCTATCCCCATAAGGCTAGTCATTTTTCCTAATATAAACCACATCAAATAGAAAATAAAACGTTTTCTTTTCGCTTACAATTTACACCCCTTTTTCCTCGAGTTCGCCACTATTACCCCTCTTTTGTTTGTTTTGATATTACGTAACTAATGATTCTAACCCTTTCTCACTCGTCATGACAAATAATTAAACATAAAGGTTTGCTAGCAATCCCAAAACTATTTATCCTGTGTTGTTCGACTTCTTCCTTATCATATATCCTCTTACGAAACCAGTTACCTAGCTTTTTGGCCTATCAAGGTCATCGGTATGCTTTACTTCTACCGCCGTGACACGGAAAACGAATAGAAAAACTAGGTATATAACCAATGTTTATCTCTACTGCTGAGCAATACGGGGAATAACGTCTGTCTCCTATATGCACGAATCAAGACTCTAGTAATGCATCACAAGGTGAGCCTTACATAAATTCCCAATTGATCTAATATCCAATATATAAACTGACTGATTTCTTTGCTTTCGCTTCTTGCCATTTCGTTAGGATTCTAGGTAATTGACAATGTTCAATGTGTGTTAGTCTGGTAATTTGACCGCAATGATTCTAGTCAGGTAATTAGTTATTTGTGGATTTTTATATCTTGTTATTTGAGTGAGTGGCTTTGTTTCAGAGTAGTAGGCTCTCCGGATACTAGCAGTTATCATATTGTAGTGACTCACATTTATCACGAGAACACGACTGGTTTAATAAAAACAATTATTATTATAACCAACTGTACCAGTGTTTGTTTTAATGTGCTTTTGTTTGACTGTGCTAATGACAGCTATATTGTGCTTCCATTCTTATTCTTACACTTTGATTGTGACTTTGCGCGAATTCGATTACGTTCTGTAACCAAGCTTGTATCCTGGCACGATCTCGGTATCCTTTCGATACCACTAGATCGCC